CAATTATCATGATTTCTAAATTCACTTGACGAATAAATTTTTATAAGCAGTAAAAAGTCATATTTTACCTACCAAGTATTGCATTCCTTCGCCTAGTTTCCTCTTCAACTGGCTCTTCAACTGACTCTATCAATCCTTAGTTGTCTACTTTCCATACATTTTCAATAAGAGGTAGCTAGGAATAGTTACACTCAATAGATACCGCGACATTTTTTCAGTCAAATCCAGGAAATACTGATAGATAAACTATTTCTGGCATCTTTTCTACTCATATTGATAAATGTGTTTCCGAGAACGTCTTTAACTTTTGTTGCATTCCTTATTTTTCAGGAACACAGTCGATGGCGCATCATCGTCGTTACAAGAAATCTGCTGGTAATTACATCACTTTAGCCCCTTCCTACGAGCTCGTCCTCTCTAAGAGTAAGTTCAATAGTTTATAGCTTCCATGAATCTAAATACAATAGGTCATTTCAGATGAACCATCCCAAATCGACTCCACCTTGGCAGTAACGGTAGAAGAAGGTCAATCATTAAATCTGAAGTGCACTGCAGGTGAAGGAATAGACGAAAGAACGTTGCGTTTCGAAAAAGAGTTAGAAGAAGTTAAAGGCAGACGTTCACCAAGAAGGTAGTTTACATCTTCGTCGTGTCGAAATTTTACATTTTCCAACACTTTTCAGTGTGAGCCAAGAGATTTTCAATTTTGAAGATGCCGCTCACAGCGGTCTTTATGAATGCTTCGCAAGGACAAGCAATGGGGAGGAATATTCGAGAAAGATGAGAGTCTCTACTAAGGTGCGCTCAGCTGATTTTAGAGGATGAGATGAAATACCTTAGAGTCCCTTTTATAATAATGTGCTGCTGTCAATCTAGCCAATTAATCCCTTGACTTGCCCAACCACGAAAGTCCATATGTTGTCATTTGACAAATCCATCCTGCCCATATCTTGTTCCTAGAAATCGAAAGACTTCTTCCTTCACATAGGGATTAAAGGGTTTTTGAAGCAATCGTCAATTTTGTTCACAAAAATATCTA